TTGAGTAGGATTGAAACCCAGGAGAATGTTGTAAACATCTTCTTCATGCCCTTACTTTGCCTCGTGGCATCTGCTATAAAAGGCATGGCTGTGGGCATGGTCCCTGTCTCTCAGAGAAGCAGCGTCCCACCAAGAACCAGGTTTTATTCTCTTGTCTGTCTTTTCTAAGCCTTTCAGCCACCCTCACTCAGGTTCACCCTTGGCAGTGCTGGTGCGGCACACTTTAGAAAGATAATGCCTCCACGCTCCCAGGGCGGGTTCCTGCCTCAAACCCGCCCTTACAGGAAACAGCTCTGAGAAACAGCTTGGGGGAGGGTGTAGCTGTTGCGAAAACAACCCCTGCAGGTCTGACTTCCTTCCGCTTGGTCACTGGCGGTTGTGGTCGTGATGAACACCCATGGTTTTTATATAAGTAGATTCTTCAAGATTCTACCTTCCTATCATGTAACAGTTAAATGCAATGTCTCTAACCTGGCCAGTGTGGCTTAGTGGCTGAGCATCAACCTATAAACCAAAAGGTCACAGTTCAATTCCAGGTCAGGACACATGCCCAAGTTGCGGGCTTCATCCCCAGCGGGCAGCCAATCAATGATTCTCTCTCATCATTGATGTTTCTCTCTCCCTCTCCCTTTCATTCTGAAATCAATAAAAATATATAAAAATAAAATAAATGCAATGTCTTTATTACAAAAACATTTTGATCACCTAAAAATAAAAGGCCATACCAGATTTAACTCCTCTTGGAATGCTGTTTTTAAAATATCTTTATATTAAAGTTATACCAAAATACTATTTATTTCTTGATACTAAAACCACACTACTTTTAATAAGAAAAAAAAACCACATCAGATAAACTGTATATCCTTATTGAGCAACCAAAACACAAAGTCGGGGTGAGGAAGTTCCTTGCTCTTCCTAGTTTATTTAGTATATTTACCACGAAGGGGTACTGGATTTCATTAAATAGGTCTTCTGTTTCTTTTTTTTTTAATTGTTTAAAGTATTACCCATAGTCTTCTATTTCTATTGACATAATCATGAGGTTTTTAAAGTCATTTGTTCTATTGATATAGTGCATTATATTAATTAATTTTCATATTTTGAACCAACTTGGATTCCAGACATAAATCCCACTTAGTCATGGTGAATAAACCTTTATATATGTTGCTGAATTCTGTTTGCTAGTGTTTTGCTGAGGATTTTTACATCTATACTCATAAAGGACCTTGTATTTTTCCTTTCATCTAATGTCTTTACCTGGTTTTGGTATCAGAGTAACATTGGCCTCATATAATAAATTGGAAAATGTTCCCTCCTTTTCTATTCTTTCTTTCTTTTAAGAGCTTGTTTTTAAAAATTGGTATTAATTTTCCTTTAAATGTTAGAATTCACCAGTGCAACCAATAGGCCTGCGTTTTCCACAGTAGGTAGGTGCTTTTCATTATTATTATTTTAAATTTAATCTCTTTACCTATTTCTTCATAAGCCAGTTCCCATAGCTTATATCTTTCTAGGAATTTGTCCATGTCATAAGTTATTTAATTTGTTGCCATGAAGTCCATATTTCCTTATTATAATATTTTTTATTTCTGTAAGATCAGTAGAAATATCTCCTCTTTAATTTCTTTAGTTCTAGACTTTCTGTTTGGTTCTTTTTCTAATTTCAATATTTTTGGTAAAAAGTACTCCTTTTATTCATTAATTTTATCCCTGGGCTCATTGAACTGCCTTTCTGAGTTTTCTTGTATCTTGTTGAGTTTCTTCATGACTAAAATCTTGAATTCTCTTGCACTAGCTGGTTTGGCTCAGTGGATAGAGCATTGGCCTGGGGGCTGAAAGGTCCTGGGTTTGATTCTGGTCAAGGGCACATACCCGGGTTGTGGGCTTGATCCCCAATAGGGAGTGTATAGGAGGCAGCCGATCAATGATTCTCTCTCATTACTGATGATTCTATCTCTCTCTCCCTCTCCTTTCCTCTCTGAAATAAAAAATATTTTTTTTAAAAAAAATTTTGAATTCTCTTGTCATTTAAATCAGTCTTACATGACTTTGGTTTCTTGAGACTGTCATTTTCTTTCTGTTACCATGTTATCTTGGTTGTTTCATGGTATTTGATGGACTGTTCCCTTGCCTGTGCATCTGAAATAATGAACTATTTTTTATTTAGATATCATTTTGATTTTAACAATTCAGCAGGTTGACAGAGGTCTTTCTTTTGTTCTCCAGTAGACGGTGCTATAGCACAAGTTTCTGCACTACTTGTGCCTCTGTAGTGTGTGTGGGGGGTGGGGAGGGTGTTTCTCTGCAGTGGTGGATTGGTGCCTGGGTGACCAGAGTGGTGGGTGTCCCCGCTTTTGCAGGTCCTCTTAGTCTCTGGATAGCACCACCCTATTGGAGATGTGGGGAAGCTGGGTTTGTGCATCCTCAGCACTGCTACCTTGTTCCTTAAGGTTGCTGGCATATCGCTGTGCTGTAACTACTACTGGTGACTGACTCAATATTGGGGAATAAGGAGCAAGATTCTTGGGCACAGATTCTCCTTCTGCCCCTCTTACCTTTCACTCCTCTATATGTTAAAATACATCCACCTTCAGATGTACTGATCCATGGATCTCTTGGGCATGTTTGTGAGTTAAGCAGAGGAACACTTTGGATACCTATCTCTGACTTGTAAATCTTGAGATACACAAAGGGGTCTTCTTAGTCTGAGAGGATGCTGACTTCCTCATTCCTCATTTTAGTAATTTGAGTCTTGTTTTTCTTGGTCTGTCTAGCTAAAGCTTTGTCCATTTTGTTCATTTTTTTTTAAAGAACCAATTTTTGTTTTTTCCCAGTGTTTTTCTATTCTCAATTTCATTAATTTTCTGTAATCTTTGTTATTTCCGTCCTCTGCTTTATGTTTAATTTGCTGTTCTCTTTCTAGTGTCATAAGGTGAAAGGATAGATTATTTATTGGTGATCTTTCTGGCTTCTTAATACTGGTATAGCATTTACAGGTGTAAATACCTTCTAACCACTGCTTAAGCTATACCTTGTAACTTTTGAATCTACAGAAAATCACTTTGGAATCTTGGAAGGTAGGGTCATTAATGCCATACATCACACAGGATAATCTATTATTTTTCTTTAAATGAGACACCAGACGGATGCAAAAGAAAAACAGCACTGACAATGTTAAATCTCAACTCTGCCACTTAATTATGGAACCTTGAGAAAGTTTCAGTTTTGTCAGAAGAGCCATTGAGAATATTGAATAAGGTGATATATTTACAAAGCATGTACTTAATCATCTATCCAGTATTCATTCTCCCTATTAACAGCACCCAAATCTCTCGTAAGGAATTATCTTCCTCAATTATGTATCTACTATCTCAATGGACTTGACCTCCTCCCAAGCCCAAGGTTGGGCATTAATTGCTCCAAGTTAGAGTAATCTAGAAAATTATCTTTTGCCATGAATATTAGTTTGATAATGAGATGAAAACTAGAAATTCAAGACCCAAGACAATTAATGTATGACATTACTCTGACAAAACTCAAGACTTTCATCTAATAATCATGAGCTGTCTTTTAAAAAAGAAAGAATGTAGGTCCCTTCTAGTTGCTACCAGCAATCATCTCTCAACCATGAAGAAAATCAGTAAGAGAATAAAGTCCACAATATGAAAGAGATAATTACAGAAAAAAAGGAAGTCACATGGACAGCAACATGAAAAAGAATGAAAGAAAAGGATGAAAAGATAGACCCTATCTTGTACCATACACCAAAATCAACTCAAGCGGATTAAAGACTTGAACATTAAAAAAAAAAAAGGCTTGAACATAACACCTGAAACCATTAAACACAGAAGAAAACACAGAGGGTAAGCTCATTGACATAGGTATTGGCAATGACATTTTGCATTTGACACCAAAAAATAAAAAAAGACAGCCCAGTCGGAGTTGCTCAGTGGTTAAGCATCAACCTATAAACCAGGAGGTCATGGTTTGATTCCTGGTCAGGGCACATGCCTGGGTTGCGGGCGCAGTCCCCTTTGGAGGGGCGAGCAGGAGGCAGCTAATCAATGGTTCTCTCTCATCATTGATATTTCTATCTCTCATCTCTCCCTTTCCTTTCCTCTCTGAAATAAAATAAAAATTTTTAAAAAATACACACACACACACACACACACACATACTAGAGGCCCAAAGCACAAAATCTGTACACTGGGGTGGGGGGGGAGGGGTGGTGTCCCTCAGCCTGGCCTGCACCTTCTCGCAGTCTGGGACCCCTTAGGGGATGTCCACCTGCCGGGTTAGGCCCAATTCCTCCCCCCGCCCCCCCCCACACACACTCAGCCAAAAGCTGGGCTCGCTGTTCCTTAGCGCTGACATGGAGGCAGGAAAGGCTCCCACCACCAGCACTGCACTCACTAGCCATGAACCCGGCTTCTGGCTGAGCAGTGCTCCCACAGGGGGAGCACACTGACCACCAGAGGGAAGCTCCTGCATTGAGCGTCTGCCCCCTGGTGGTTAGTGTGTGTCATAGTGACCAGTTGTTCTGCTGGTTGTTCCACCTTTTGGTCAATTTACATATTAGGGTATCCTATCTAATAAAAGACAAAAAGGGTAATTGACCGTACCTTTGCTACACTTCCCATTGGCTAATCAGTGTGATATGCAAATTAACCACCAACCAAGATGGCGGCCGGCAGCCATGCAGCCGAAGCAAGCAGGAGGCTTGCTTGCTTCAGTGATGGAGGAAGCCAAGGTTCCCCGCCTGCCGCAGCCGGCTCTGAGCTCTAAAAGCAACAGCTCCGAAAGCAACAAAGTTTCAATTATAGAAGCTAAACAAACCCCAGATACCTGCTTTCAGTAGGAAGTGGCCTCAGAGCTGGAGCGAGCAGGACGGCAACAAAGTTTCAATTATAGAAGTTAAATAAATCCCAGAATAAAAAAGAAAAAAGAAAAAAAGGAAAGGCTGGGAGCTTCAGTTGCCAGCCAGCCTGAAAACAGCCCTCAGGCCCTCACCCAGACTGGCCAGGCACCCCAGTGGGAAACCCCACCCTAAAGGGGGTGTGACCAGCTGCAACAGCCATCCAGCTCCACATCCAGGCTGGCCAGGCACCCAAGCGGGACCCCCACCCTGATCCAGGACACCCTTCAGGGCA